CAAGGTCAAGAAATATTGGTACAGAATTTTTGTATGTGTGAACTCAAGTGCCTTTATATAATATATCGTAACTGTTAGTTGTCTTTGTTACTTAGGAGATAATTGATGGTTTGGATAACCAGATTCTTGTAAAAGTAGCAAAGGAGGGTTTTAAGTCCAGAGCATTAGTTTTAAAAGATTTGGTGGAGCAGCTACAGCATGATTCAGTGTAATAATTTGAGGAGTCAAATACACCATTCTGTGTATGTGGATATTGCAGAGATGCCAACAGACAGAAAGAGGGTGTGCTATAAAGAAATACATTGTTTCAGAGTGGAACACTTGCACATTCCAAAACATTTGCTTGGACGCAGATAAATTGGCCACCTCCATAAAGTTTTGGCAGATACCTATGTGTTTACACAAACATATGACAATAGAGTGATGAGGCATGCAGCATATCGACAGTGTGTCAGTACATACATAGCCATGCATGCCGTGTGTGGAAAATTCGAAAAACATCCTTCACCTGATGGACATCATACCAGATATAGAGATATGCCTTGACCTAGAGGGTCAAGGGGGTGGGCAGTCAGGGTTTTATGTAGAACAATATGGTTATTTTGTTTCTATGATATGGACAGCATTTCACATTTGTCCATTTTATCAATTATTGAATATAGCACAAATAAATTATGTACATTCACAAATAGAAATTGTATATATCTGCTCTCCTTATTCATAAATCTTTGATTGTGGAGGCATAATTGTAGATGAAGTTTTATATAAGAATCCCAAAATATAACCCTTACTCTCACCCAGCCCATACACAACCCTATGTGATGTCATTTTGGGATCCTTATATGAAATTTCACCCATAGTTTCTTTGACACAAACCCATAGAATTATATACAGCACAATAATTTCTCTGGAAGCATTTTAAAAACATCCTCAAAATTGTTTATTTGTATGTTTTCACTAATAAATTGTAGTCATCTTCAAGAGAGATCATTCCTGAAATTTATTAATTGAATGTACAAATAAACAATTTAAAATGACTGTTTACATTTTTTCAGAGCAAGTATTATGCACTGTTTTTTTATCAAAGTACTCAGTAGTTCTGACAATACACGCTTTCGATAATTATGCCACACATACTTTTTGGTCTTGGAGCCTCGCTTTCATTAATAAATTATGCAAAGTGATTGGCTCACGATTCATGAGAGCAAGGCTCCCAGGCCAAATGACGTAATTATCAAAAGCCTGAAAAGGTTGTATATCTACTGTAATCTAAAATATTGTGGTACGTTCTTTTACAAAATCCACTGTTGACAGAGCAGGTAGACTGGCAATTGTTAGGGCTATTTTTGTTGGATCTTGATCAGATGTGGATGGTTTTACTTTCTACAGAAACTCTTTGCTTGCCTCTTTCAACACATGAGCACTCAGAATTGGAATGTAGCTCAGTCATTCTTCTCAACAATCACTGGTTTCCATCTTTTAGCTCTCTTACTCGAACGACGGCTCCATACTCCATACTGATATCCAAGGGGGCAAAGATGATATCCTAAAGGGGGTTTAAATATAACCATGGGTAGCTTCAAAAAATCACACCCAAGGGGGTCCTAAATTTTTATATCCTAAGGGGATTATGAAGCGACCCCTCAATAGGGGGGGGGGGGTATATATTTAAATGGCCCAATACATATAGGAATTTATGAAGTAATAAATCATATAAAAGTATAATTCAAGAGATAAAACAAGAAAAATATTCGAGATGAAATGGTAGCAAGGACAGGAAAGCAAATACCGCCATGAGTTCTATGATGGGTATAGCCAATAGGGCCAATTATAGGCCCAATATTTACAGTGACAATAGAAAATAGGAACATGCAGTAGTATTAAAATCTTGTATATAAACTATTATATATTCAGTTCACTGTATATATCATTCATAAATTTAAAACACATAGGCGAGCATTAAAAAGGCATACGTATGAGAAAAAAGTATAAATACCTGAATTTAAAAGTTATGTTTTTAATTGCCTTCGAGTTGATGTTGCTTGATGATGGCTTACTCGACTTGTCATTGTAGTTGATAAATTTCTTGTACATCCATCCACAGGTCATAGACATCATTGTGCAGGGAAATGGTCTTCCAAATCGCACTTCGTACGTACGTTCTCGTTAGGTACTAGGTAGCCTCCCTCACGCTTGCGTTTCCTCCCAGAACCACGTCTTTTCCCACCGTGCGTACCACTTTCAGGCGCTTGAAAAGATGGGCCAGGCTCACTGGCTCAGTAGGACAACGCAAGTTATCGTCACTGTCAGTTTTAGAGCTTTCCATAGCATTGAACGCATGTAAAAATGTGAAATTCGGCCAATACCGCTCGATGCTTCATCTGCACAGACGGGTATCAAATTACACTTCGCATACATAATAACTGTGATAATTCGGAACATCCGGAGATCAAATTATTAGCCTTGATTTCGCACAAATATACATCATTATATAACTGATTTTAAACACGTAAAACTTTCTTTACCCATTAGTACTGTAGACTGTATATACGACGCCATTTTGATTTTTAAAACTTGATTTACAACATTAAGTTTTTCAAGTTTTTGAACGCAATGCGCATGCGCGAATTTGGGTGCACTGTGCCTTTAAGATTGCATTTTTTGCCCAAAGGCACTTTTGAAAACTTGCATGAATCTATGTTATTTGGGGAAAATATTTTTCATTTCCAGGAAAAATATCATATATCCGGAAATTTTTTTTCGTATATCCAAAAATTTTTTTTTCACATTTAGGAAAAAATGCATGGTATATCTGGAAAATCTTTTGGTATGTCCGGAAACCAACATTTCCGGGAAAAAAAATTTCAGATGCCCTTTTTTATTCGAAAAGTGCCCCTCAAAGGAGTCAAAGCCTGGCCCCCAAACTTTTAGAAGCTTCCTACGCCCCTGTCTATAATAAACGAGAAAGCATTTACATTATTATTATCAGGTGCATATAACATGATACAGAAAAGTGGGCATCACAAAATCAAAGACCAATGAAAATAAAGACCAAAACCCAATTCTGTAAGATACCGTAGATATCTAAAGTGTTTGATTTCCACATGCATGAGTTTAACCTTATATAATAGCGGAAGAGTTTGTTAATTTCTTACTCTTTTGGACTTTTAAAAGGCTTAAGGGAAGATAAAAGCTTGCATTGTAAAGCAATTTCCGGACAAGTTATGGTGGATAGACCTTATCACCCCTCCAACCAGACTGCATGATTCCAAGTGCTTCATGCCAGATATCTCCAGAGGGCCACAGAGCTGGCAACTATAGTACAGCAGGCCAACTGTGGTACAACTGTAGTTTAGTGGACACCAGTGCATTGCTGTCCAGCCAGCAAAGACAGTAGTCTTGTGAAGTACACCTTTCTGGTGGGAAATAACCCCAACCCTTAAACCCTTATTATTTTATTTTTATTTTTGCATTTTCCCACCAAAACTTGCATTACAGTAGGTGAGCCCATAGTCCGCATCTCTGACATGCTGATGTCCGCTAAACTGCAGTCTAGCCAATTTAACCTGCTGGCAGATTGGCAGAAGCATATAGTTTCTGCATGTAAAATTTTCCTCAAAATGTAGGAAATGCAATTTCAGAAATTCATGATTTTAAAATTTCTCCAGGAGTACCATGTTCCCAGATCCATAGGGTTAGTCTACTAGCCCATAGAAAAAATAGGTATATATTATTCCAATAGTCTAGCCCAATCACCAACCAAACTAATCTACTGCCACCTATGTCCTAGCTAGCTCTGCATGGTTAATCACTCTTCACTCACAAATTCATGAATTTTGATAAAAATCTAGAAACAAATACTTTGTCCAGCTTTAGGCAATGGGCAATAATTTTCCTGTGTTTGGACATGCAGGATGTTGTGACCAGCAGGCCATGTTTTACACTCAGCACTAACACTGCCGTACACCCTGTTGTGGTTATCCAGCACACTGAACACAAAAGTAACAGAATGCACTCTGGCCCATCAATATCTCCTGCTTGAACTTGTCTCAATCTTGAAAGGGGCAGCCTAACACCCTTCATGTGATTGCAATCTCAACATTATATCAAAACAATATGCATATATAACTCTATAGACCCATTGCACATGATGTCACAGCACCGGCGACGATGCATCTGGAGGACAAATTATAGCAATCTATGCATAATATAACTTTTGTAAACAAAGCAAATTTTGTAAAACTTTATAATAATTTTGTATTAAAATGGTTAGTTTTTGCGCTGTATGTGGTTGTTGTACCCGAACAGATATTGTTAGGGAGCATCTGGAGGACACCCTAAGGATTTGTGACGTCAGTGCAAAGGGTCTATAGCCCTTATTCTATATTTTCTAGGAAGGCTGAGATGAGAGCCTTATGGTGATTGTAGCAAATTAAATTTTGATCATCATTTGAATGATGTTAATTATTGTTCATATTAAATATTTATTGTTATCAAATATTTATTAATTAGTTATAGTATTCGAATATAAATATTACCTCTAAATAACCTTTGCTTATAAATACTTCTGCCATTGTGAAAGTGATAATAAGAGCAGCTGTTAAGTAATACCCAACTCCAAGCCTTGAGTCACGTATTGTAACATATTTATATGTTGCATAATGAAAAAATGACATGATTAATTTGATTTCACAAAACCTAAGCAAATTATGGAATCTTTTAAGTGCTAAAACAATGAAACGTGCCAAATTAAATACACCATATATTACTAGTAACCACATTCGATACACGTGGAAATTTGGATGACGATTGACGAAACTCGGAAGCCAGGCGGTGTGCGCAATACGACCGCAAAGCGTGATGGGGTTTTCGCGCCTGAATTGCAATTGCACCTCATTTGCATTTTGCTTTGACCGAGTGAACATCAGAGACAATCAGTGTCAGCGAAAATAAATACTCTAATTTAATATTCTTCGATGGGAATCAATTGCCTTTATTCCCACACATAAAGAAATATGGTAATAAGGTGCATATCAGCGAATTTTATGGACGAATTGTGGCAGTCGACGCTTCGTGTTGGATCCATAAAGCGTTAGCAATTTTATCACAACATGGCAAATATCTCGAAAGGTGAGTTATAAATATAGGTACTATATTGGACTATTTTATAGGTAATTACTACATATTTTCACTAAATACTTATCTTCAATACAAAAAGCTGGAGTGATTCCATTTGTAGTGTTATATATACAACAATATATAATAATTAAATGTTTCTGATTGCTTTTATTTTATGTACTGTAAGCACTCAACTTGGTTCACTCTCAGTAAATGTTCAAATAGTATCGATACTATTAATAGCTAAAAACAAAAATGATACAAAAATATTCAGCCTTTGTGTTTGCAAACTTGACTTATCTGCAGAAGGTAAGGATGGGAATTTCATTAGTTACCATTTACTGTTGTTAACACAGAGGAGGGGCTGGTTGATGAACAATTTCCATTTTACCAGAGAAGCTAGCTGCTACCTCCTAGTAAACTCACTGCCATTGTAGTTTGCCACTTCCTAGCCTACCAAAATCTTTGCAGTCCTGGGTTATTAGCACTTGTTGTGATGGTCAGAATAAATTTCTTAACACAATAATCAGCATCCTGGACAAGCATTTTGCCAATGAGCTTGCTGCAGGAAACATCAACCCAACAAGTGGAATAAACCAAAATAACTTTTCTCACCTCCAGGTAGTAATTGGTTGCATTTTGATTAATGCATACCAAAGTAAAATAATCTAGTTGCATTACAGCTTGTACATTGTCCTTGTATAATGAAGTGACACAAAAATAACTTCATTTTAGGTCCTCTTCCAAACATGCCAACAGAAAGTCAGACTATACAGGTACTGTAGTGAATTTACAAGCCAGTATTTACCAGCAGTATTTATCTGTATTTACCATCCAGTATTTATCAGTAGGTAAATACTAGCCTAAAATGAACATGTTTTTTGATTGATTTGCTTAGACAAAGGTGATCATAATTTGTGACTTGTTCTTTGAAGTAATTGTTATCGTAGCTATCTTAAAACATCACAAAATCTTTGAAAGCTGTATTTGTAAAAAAAATTAGTCATGATGATAATTATCTTCAAACAAACCACAAAGACCATTTTGGTCCAAAATAGAAATTTGTTATCACAACACAAAAGGTGGTGACTGCAGCTAATTACACTTACGGTCTTAGGCCATCATAACTTAAGCTTGTATGAACTTATTTTGCGTAATTGCAGGTGAAATAGTTTGGACCATTACAAGCATTGCAGACTCATGGTTCTCATGGACTATATCAACCTTCCCTGTTATGTCCATTGCCCATAGAATTTAAATGAATAAATGTAGTGCTAAACTCTGGCAATGCACATGCTCTAATTAGAAGATCTACTGACATCTGCCCAGGAAAATTTAAATGTACGTCGCACTGCAAAATTACAATTGATGGAATTGAGTACATTGTTTATGGAAAATAACAAAATTAAGCGAGATTAGAGATGAGAGTGCAGCAGGTATGGCGAGACAAAGCATTGAAGAAGAGCAAATTGAAAGTGAAGTGCACACTGTTCCACTTAAAGTTCTTGGATCATGTCATTCAGGTGAAAGACAGAAAATATTAGAGGAAGCGTTCGAGTACCTAAATGAGTATAATAGGCCAGTCTATGTGCAGTTGGAAAAAGAATCAGACAATTTACATGATCCAAATGCAATTGCAACTTATGTGAAAACTGTTGATGCATTCCACAAGTTTGGTTATATTGCAAGCAGGGATGCTGGGGGGGGGGGCCCTCTTGCCTTTTGTTAGTAGGGGCAAGGGGGGCAGAAGTGCCCTTAAGTTATAAAATACTACACCTGATAAATCACGTTTCCAGTGATGCTTTTTGCATGGGCAAAATCATGAGGTGTGATCTTGAATGTGACCTGATTAAGTGCGTTTGCTTTCATTGGCAAGTCAACACATAATTGTAGGTTTATCTTCACCGAGGTTTACAGAGGTGCCCTTTGGTGTGTGTTTGCCCCCCTTGCCTTTTTATCGTTCCGGCGTCCCTGATTGCAAGTGAACTGACACAGTATATTAGCCCCCATATGAACGGCCCTAGCTTTGATCATGTGTCTATAAAATACATCAAACTACATACAACTTTTATGCGAATTGGATTTTATCACACAATTAACATATCCAAAAAAGGTTCATGGCATCCTAATGTGGTCAAAGCTAGCAAGTCTGCTATGTAAATGCATAAAATATACTGAATAGAACTGGTTTGATGCAGCCCATCTTATTAAAAAATCAACATTTGTAAAGCAAATTAACTTGTCTGTTTTTAACGTGTTTATAAATATGAATGACTATATTCATTGTTATTTGTTATTTACAAATATGTGCATAAGGTTATGTACTGTGTGTACTGTGCACAGAACTGCCCACTTTCTGTAAGATGTCCGCTGACCACTCTCCTCCGCAGAGGCTTTGTAGTTTGTTTTCTTTCTATGAGAATGAGTTTGTTTTCTTTCTTTCTATAAGTTTGACTTGCGGGCAGTAGCGGGCTAGGTAGAGAAGTGGGCACACAGGGGGAGCAAGCGCGGGGTTAAAAGGGGGGCATCATGGACATTTGGAGCCGCTACTGCTCGCAAGTCAAACTTATATAGAAAGAAAACAAACTACAAAGCTTCTGCGGAGGAGAGTGTCCGCTGGCAATACGAGCCCGCATGAGTGGGAGAAATTTTTCTAAATTTGACCAATGTGCTCACATATGTTTTGGCACTGGTGGCAAAGCCACTCAGGTGTGCCATCTTCTCATCTCTCAAAGCACCATGACATACCATAAAGCAAGTTCTTCTTGCCCTCTTGCAATGTTTTCATGGCATTTAAACTTTTGTCCAGAAAATCTGCCTGCACAAATTGGTATAAAGCCATGCATGCCTCCAAGCTCAATAAAAAAACTTTTATAAATAGTTCAATAATTGTTCCTTTAATCTTTGGGACTTAAGGCTGTGATGAGATTTTGGACAATATCACCAAGAGTACCTGGGTTATTTCCTGCTGAGCCCTTACATGGTGACTCTTTGAAAATTGGTGAGAGATTATCACTAAAATTGAACACAGCAGCAGGACTTGATGGCACAGGAATAGCTGAGCCAACAGAATCATGTACATAGTCAATTTCAAAATCTTTTTCTGCATCACTCAATGTACCACATTCTTCGCCAAGGTTTTTAGGACTCGGGTTCTACATGAACCTCCTAGAACAATTAAAATATTTTGCTTTAATTAATGAAATATAAGAATATATAAATGGCATTTAATTTATCAGTCAAATTTAATCACAACATTGTTGGGAGCTTGTTGTTTAAAGATGCAGTCAACTCAATTTCCATTTGTTGTTTACAAATGTTTCAGCCTGCAAATGTGTTCAGCCTGAAATTATATTATGAATTTAATCTGTTAAGTTACATTCCATCCTAATGTGCCCTTCTTTATTATTTTACTCTGATTTTACTTGTCAAGGAGGGGCACTGGCACTCTCAATGCTCGGTTAGTTGATTTAATTTAAATCAATAATAATAATATGATTCGAATACCATACCTGATCGTTGGGATTTACATGCATTTTTTACTGCTTGGGCATATCCTCTTTATCTTTGGTTGTTGGCCATTTGTCGTTCCAGGGATCTTTCCAATACAGACATATATACTGTATTTATTTATAAATAGCATACAAGTTTCTTGTTTAGTCCATGACACTGGATTTTCATTCCTGCTGGATACAGAACTTTGAGAAATTGTTAGGAAAAGGCTCTTCCTCGAACTACCTTCACGTAAAGCCAACTTTGGCTTCGCTGAACTGTCGCCAGTTGACAGCTCGAAGCGTCTCTCGCCTCTT